AGATTGCACCTATTTTGTTCGACAGATTGTACCTGTTTTGTTTGTTCTTTACGAACTTTTATACTGTTCATTTTAAGGCATGCCTTTCTAAACATTGATAAGCATGAATTATTGTGCAAATGATGGAAATTATTTTAAACAAATATTACGGGTTGGCCAAATAAAGTTGTTTCAATCTTAGAGCTTGCTTGGTAGTGCTTTTAGTGTTTATAAGTTGCAGGTCCTACGGAATGCATGGATGATAAATGGATAGCAAGTTGTGAATCCTATGGAATGTGGGGATAATAAGTATCAAAGTGCATTTGATCAGCTTAAATTAGAATATGCACTTAATGTTTAAGAATATAATAGGATAGATAATTTAATGCTTCAACTACTGCCCTAAGCAGTACATAGCATTCTACATCTAATGAGACCTAAAATATATGAGACAACTCACTAAGAAATTTGAAATAGTAGAGCTACGGGCTACCTTGGAAACCAGAATACATGCAGATCATCACATGACAATATGCAATGGCAATGTGTTGATTTGATAAATACTCGTGGCTATTGATTCAGAAAGGCCAAAACTTTGTTATTGGTCTCTCTTTTTGGTCCCTTCAACGTGTCAAAGAAATGCATCCACATAATATCAAAATATGAATGAATCCTATTATGCACGTGCACCATGGTGACATGATGTCGCATCGATTTCCCACAATGGAAAGAACATAATGGCAAAAAAGCATCTGTTAGAACTTCCAAATTTAAATGCATCATCATCTTTAAGCTGAATATTACTGTAATAGGTAATACATCAGTTAATGAAGGCAAAACAAATGAAAGGGAAGCTCTGAATATCAGAAAATATGTAACTATTGATCAATGCACAATATTGGAATAATAGCTACAATAAAGTTTAAAGAGGGTTTACAAACATTAATGTTTCTTCGTCTCGAAATTCCTCCTCAGCTAAATCTTAATTAGTAAGTCAATTGAATAATATATTAAAAAAACTAGATATATGTTAAATTTCACTGAGCATATCTTGCTTTCATCTGCTTCTAATACAATAAACCACAGAATTAAAATAATCAAAACCATCCAGAACCTAAGCAGAACTTTATATGCCACTGCAAGAATTAACAATTTCTACAATTTAAAAGAAAAAAAATCCACCGGCAGTTAAATCAAGTTCTTAAATCTCTAACACGATCGACACATGCGCTAAAGTAGATTAATTTTGACTTTAAAAATAAAAAATAAAAAACCTGTAGAGCTCTTCGAAGCTAAGGCCACTGGCGTTATGATTGTAAATCTCATGAATGGCGTGTTCCAGGATCTTCCATGTTTTATCTGCATACTTCGGATCCACCACCACTTTGTGCTTAAACGCCTCTATCTGAAAATTCCTCTTCTTTTGTCCACTATTCATCCTTTTTTCTCTTCTATATAAAAAAATTTCCAAAACCTAAAAAAAACCCGATAAAAATCAGAACCTAGAAAACTTATTCTTAAAGCCTGTAATTATTATCAGTGCAAATTAGCTCCGATCAAACTACAAACTAGATTTTATTTTTGTTCAATTTATAGGACAACTTGTAAAACAGAAGGGAGAGATTTTTAGGGTTTGAAATGGGGAGGGAGAATAAAGAGGAAGATTGAGTTGTGAGTTAAACCAATCCTCCCAAATTGGGTTTTGGTGCAGAAATGGATGAATTGGAGAGAACAATACGAATTGACAGAAGACAAAGTATAATTGTATCTGAATTTTCTTCTGTTTATATTTTATGTTTTGGGTATTTGGTACAAGTTATTGCACAGATTTTTGGTGTTTTCTCGTAGTTTCTTTTTTGGAGGATCCAGTTTCCATTGTAATTGAAGCTCATTTTTAATTTTCTGTTTTGAGGATATTTTTAGAATTTTATTTTCCTAAAATTTTTATTTTTTTAGATTTAAATTTTTATTTTTGAAGATTTTATTTAAACGCTTATTTCACATAGTGATTTTCAAGATTTTTACTGAAAATGCTCAAAAAATCAAATCTACGCTTTAACAGCTTATCAAGTTTTTTTCAAAGTGTGAGAGCATAGAGAATATATGTCAGGTGAAGTGAAGAAAATTATCGAAAGAATCAATTTTGATTTGTGGCAATTCTTAAGTTGAGGATTTGTTGATTTAGTTTGCATTGAAAATGATTTTGTAAGAAAGGCCACCCCCATCAAAGATGGATAACCTGGTCACGTTAGGAAAAATTGTTCAAAAGGAGGAACAAACTTGGCTAATCGCTTGAACTTAGATAGATAGTTAGGCTATCTGATGATGGTAATTTCGTTTGAGTAAGATATGGATATCCTCATGGCAAGCGCTATTTTTCATCATAGAAAATGTGTTACTATTAGCTGTCGACGTATCTGCGTACGGACATTGGCTTGACACGGGATGTGTGGTGGAGTTGATGATAATGGTTGGTGAACTCACTGTAAAGTCAAGCAGGGGATTATACTGTAATGTTTCAGTAGCTTTGTTATTAATTCTAAGGCTATAATTCATTGTGCAAAATTTTTCATGGAAAATCAATTCCAACTTCCACTTTTGCAATGTTTGATAGCAATAATTTTCCTTGAAAATGGTTTTCTTGATTTCCCTTACACGAACACAATTTCCATGGTTTTGTTGAAAATGAATTCCCACCACT